ACAAACATAATACACGTACACGCGAGCACCGAGACACTACGACAGACAGACAGACGGAACACCATACCTGCGCTTGTTAACAATGTCATCACAGACTTAAGCACTTGTTTAGTAATGTATCAATAGGGGCCTTACAGCTACGGAGCCTACCTGCCGCTATCTTTATATGTGAGGCAGCGTGGTAAAATCAGGCGTTCGTCAAAATAATGAAAGTCAAGAAACTGGCATTTTTTCGCAAGTGTGGGAATTTTTAATGCATTTTTTTGGCTCAACACCTTTCACATCCATTAAAAAACACATTACTGTCTTGATTTTACTGAAAAACGTTGATTAAAGGCATAAAATATGTAAATTTTCAGTTACAACGGACTCTCAAGCTAAGGAAATAACACAACTTCCGCGGCCATATTCTCGCTAAATTTTCCTTTGAATCCAGGTGACCTCCACCTCCTTCATCGCCAATATCTTGACTTGTATCCAAGATAAATGGATATTGTTTCCATCAAAAGCAAGGCAAATGAACAGGCTTCAAGATGATACTAATGACTCAATATGCCCCAAAATTGACGAGCGCCTGACTCCACCACGTCGTAACACATATTTACATAGACATCGCGTGTCTCCCATTCAGGCCTCACGCATCTGAAGGAAAAGCTCGCTGTGGCATGCCAAGTTACGTTTACATTGTTAAATATTGTCGATTTTACAAGAGCATAAATTGCTGCAGTATCTTGAAAATGTGCTTAATTTTATTGTTAGCAGTGCGCGCATATCGTTTTGATTTGTTTTTATAACCCAGCGAAGGTTATTATAGTTTGGCTGATTTAATATCGTTTGCAAGCTGTTCTAAGCCCAGAAAGTGTACATATTCAAGAGAGATAGAGGGAAAACTGTTTTAACCTTTTCAACTTTACCGCATTATAATGTAGCTTTTCTTACTTTTTTCAACAGTTAATAGAGTTTGAATTTCAACATAAGATTCCCAAGAACATGCCACCGATATCCCAGCTAAAAGTTCGAAAACTGTGGAGCTTGGTACTTTTGAATTTGAACAGCCACCCATCTTTATAGGCTCCTCGAGTAAGTTGCTCTATGTCTACCATTTCCTCGCTTGCCTTCGATTTTGCCAGTGCCAGTTAGAACTAAACGTTCAAAACCCGTGTGTCTTTTCACGCGTCCCAGAAACTGAGCGGATAAAAAGGTAAAAATTAAGAAATGCGGACAGAGTCAACTTAGTAAACAATGGTTAGTTTTGGGTAGCCTTCAGTTGCTGCCCCAGGCGTCTAAGGGCACGGGGGAAAGGGGGGGGGGGGAGGGTACAGGGGCAGACTATTGGACACTGAGGAGAGAAATGAGGAGGTTGTAGAGATTATGGAAGTGGTGGGGGTGATGGGGACTACGCGCAACCTTTGATGAAGTCACAGCTAATATTAATGGGGGGGGAGGAGGGGGATACTAACGGACCTTGCGATCGGTGTGTGATGAATATTGATGGTCGATCGCGGCGGCCCATGAAAAACGAATCGTAGTGTAGGCCTAGATTGTAAGATTAAGAGTGCACTGGCCACACGACCGACGCATGTGGACACTTGTTTTGAGATGCTTGCTACTGATTTTTGTTTTGAATGAACTCAACTCACTAAACACAAAGGTTAGTTGTTGTTTTTTTTCAATTTTAAGACGGTATTATACGCTTTTTAAAACGTATTGTCTCTCATTGTTTCGAGGGTACTATAGCTAATCATTTTTAAATATTGTTTTTATGTCGGTACGTGTTTCATTCTTTCTCCTACGTAGGCCTATAGCTAATTGTTAGTTTTCATCATTGTCTTCGACGTTTCAGTATAATATTTTTTCTTTTTTTTTTTTTTGGGGGGGGGGAGGTTGGTTTGTGTTTTTTTAATCAGCGAATGCTGAAAGCCAGACATGGTTTAGACAGTTGATGTTCTAGCCTTCACACAGGTCCAGATCAGGATTCGTTGTTTTATGGTCAGAGTCAGAGGATAACTAGTTAAATTTGACTGTCATACCAAAGTCTCACAGGACGCCTCAGTTCCCAATAGGTATGCTTTTGTCAGAAAATATGTTTTAATTAATATAGAATTTATTGGTACGGGCTATGGGTTTTGAAGTCAGTTTGGAAATCACCCTGCACCCAAATCCACATTCTATACTGATTGATAGATGCCTTGAAAGACAGTCCCTAAATGCTTTAAAAAACACATCTCAGCAACACTGTTCATCTTCATTTTTGCAGGACTGCCTACCATTACAAATTTAGCGGAATTGTCACGATTTTTCTTCTCAGTTTTACGAAAATACGATCGTAGCACCCTTGATTCTGATTTTTCAAAATGTATGTGCCGTTCGGCAACCTAACCCAGTCCCTCCCTCTTGTATTATATGGAAGAGAAAAAAACCCAATCCGTCCCCGACATTCTATCGTCAACACAACACGTGTGCACAGACAGAACCCTTGCAGACGCTTATTGTCACTTCGCCCCTTGGAAAAGTATAATTTCGCCAATGCCAGGATTTGGTCTTACGCATAGCGAACTGCAAACATTAGCTTGACAAGTCGTTGTAATTATGCCCTGCTTCTGCGTAATGCGATACGACGCAAGCCAGTACAGAATGTGAAAAACAAACAAGGGATTACAATTTGAAGTTTGAAACTGCATTCTGTTTACTATGACGTGCGGCAGAGTGAAGCGAGCTGTGTTACACAATCAGGATCAGAAAAAGACATTTTCAGTTGTTCCGTCTGTTTCTTTTACTTTGCTTTTCTTTTTAAAAACCCCCACCTAAACTCAGAATCAAAGGTGCTAGCCAATAACTACCCTTCCCTACCCCCCCCCCCCAACTGCCTTTTGCCCACCTAACGGATCGTACACACTAAACATCCGTGTTTGTGTGGTATCTGGGCCCCTTTCTGTGTTCCCACCAACTGTTCATGTTCATGCAGCAGTGCGTGTGTTGAGGTTTATGGCAGCTGTAAAAATTCTTCTGCCTGTTGTGACACTTCACATCTTTGGTTACCATTTAATGTTAAGAAAATACAGACAGCTAATTTGGTCCTGTTATGATATAGTGCAGTAGATGCGTTCAACGCCATACTAACAAATCCGCCTCGAAGTCGATGTATACTAGACATAATATTCTAGTACCATCCACTGGGTTTTTGTGCAAGCTTCATGTTAGATTCTTTTTCCTGCCTTCCAAACATCATACTGATCCTTCCAGTAGACATACAGCAACAGGTTTCTCTTTTTGAACATCTCTCTAAAGTCGTCTGGGACAATTCTTCCCCTTTTCTTTGATACTCTCTATAAAGGCCTCTGAGGCTTTGAAAGTATTTATCAAGACAAATTTTGCGTGTACTCTGTCTGTAGTAACGGGAAAGCAGTTTCGTCAACTTTGTCGAAGAATCGCTAAGCGCAAAACTGCGGATCCTCTTCTGCTCTCTGGTAATTTGACAATTGAGAAGTTCCCATCCCCAAGTCAAGAAAACTGACTTTGCAACAGTCACGAATAACCACTGTGTGAGGGCAGATGTATACAAACTCATTGTTTTGCATATATAAGTAGAATGTATGAGATTTGTTTCAAATTTAGGTGTAGAGCTGGAGAGTTGAAGTTGAATGTTTATTGAAGAGAACATTTTCGGGGCGAATATGTTTATGAGTTGCTTTTTTTCGGGTGAAGAATCATCTTCCCGGCACTGATTAACTAATCAATGATTATCAATGAATCAAGAATGGTACATTTCAGACTCAGCAAGGGGTGCACACTTTTTTTTAAATTTAAGAAACGCGAAAAGTCGTGATAAAACTGTTTTTCAATAGTTGTACCGAATGGTAAATAAGCGCGCCTTAGCTGTCAATCATAGACTTTTATAAAGATTTATTCGTCAGTACTCTTTGCCACAATTTACAGACTTGGTCGGGTCAGTATTAACATAACATATTATTATTCTTTAATACCATCTTGCCCTTTCTCAACTACATTACTAAACCTAGTGATAGATTACGCAAACTGCATTCACGAAATATTCTGGCTATCGATAGGGTTCGATCTGAGTCGAAGTTAGCAAAGGTGGCACATTGTTTTGATGTTACCCTCCTGTCTGTTTTGACATAGAAGGCTACAGTCATGCGGGTAGCGTCGCCTACGCGACTGGTGAACACCTCAACAGGCCACTGAATCTGTGTGATTCAACCGCCCATTCGCCACCGGGTTGCAAAACTGGCACTTGGACTTGGGCGGTTGAATCACGTGGAAATTGAGGACTGGTGTGATACATGTATATATATATATAAGCGATTGATTTACTGAAGGATTGAAACTCTTTGCAGTAATCTTTCAAATTCGTGTTTTAACATAAGTTGTATCAAAGGTTGTGCCACAAAAAGGGAACAAAAAGTGATTTTCGAAAATGTTGTCACTTAGGCGGTTAAATCACACTGATATATAAATATTATAT